GGATGGTACTTGCTTACTTCATTCTCTGAGAGCTGAGCAAATCAATTCACAAACAGAAACTTGGATTTTATAAGGACTCTATCAACGTAAGTAAAAGAGGAGGGAATCTTAAAATAAGTACTAGGTTTTTCATAGAAGCCACAGAAGGATGTGTTGTTCTGCTGCCTGCTTGTAGGTGCCTATAGTCTAATTGCAGAAAACAGAACAGACAAAACCAAGAATTGTTGGGTGTGCCTTGTGAGACAGGTCTTTACAGCGTTTCCTTGGTCTTGGGGATGCACTATTTTCCAAATATAATTTTGCATAATGCTGGATTCTGGTTGGGGAGTAAAGCTAGTGAGGGTAACGATGAAGAAATTTTCATAGAAAAGATAAAAATATAAGGATATTTGCATTATATAGAGGAATGAGGATAGCACAGCTTCTGTAAGAGCTCCAGTCCTAATGTTTAAAATAAAAACAGATATTAGTTGCCTGCCTTTACTAACTTAAATTTTCAAAATTTCAAACAGCCCATCAAGGCAACATTTTTTTTTCCATCAGTTCTGAACATCTGAACTGGATCAGCGGGGATGTCACTTGCCTAGGGCATCTGCAAAGAGGGTCCTGGAAGAAGAACTCAGCCCTAAGAAATACTGAAGGGTCACTAATTTTACTGTGGTTCAAATCCTTTGTAAATACTCAAAGGCTGTAGCATTTGCTAAGAGAGTGGTTTGTTGGCAGAGAAGCCAGTGTTTATTATGTTAATGTAACGTTTTGTGAGAATTCCTCACATTCAGGCTTTTGGAAACCCATGGTCTTGAATTATACGTAGAAATGAAGCTTCATTGTATGCATTGCTTCATGCTTCTGGTGGCTTGGAAACTAAGCCCCCAAAATCCCTTGCACTTAGAATAGATAAGCTAATTTCAATGTCTTGCCTAAATTACAGTGAGTAATTGTGTTCAGTCCTCTCTCTAGTTTGAATTGGTTGAGGTAGTTTACATCTTCTGTCTTATGCTACTGTTTATTAGGGTGAGTGGTGTTAAATAGGCTGCTGGCTTTTTTGACTTGACATTGCTGTATTTAGTAACTGAAATTATTCCAAAGTGTGCATATGACTTGCAAAATACTTTGATAGCTAAAAAAAAAAAAAAAATAAATTATTGTATCATGGTATCTTTACCATTTTATGAAGTGATTTTAAAATATCATGATTGTTGTTTTGAAATGTACTTAAATACGGTATTTATTTATACTCATTCTGAGTTTTTGAATTGTGATGTAAGGGGTAGGTGATCTGATTTTGTTTCGCTTCAACTGTGAAGGAAAATTTCCTAACTTTGCATTAAGCTTGTTCAGCTGAATTTGAGATGTGCAGGTGACAGACAAAGAATTAATCCAACTAAGTAATGCAGAAGCTTTGATGAGACTGTTGCAATACCCTACCTGAAACTATTAATTCCACAAAAGGCAGAGCAAGTTTTAGACCTGTTGGCTGAAAAAAAGAGAAGTTGTCCTCCTACCCAATCACATTTGAGAACAGTAAATATTTCCTATATCTAGGCTTTTTTTTTTTCCCAAGAAATATTCTTCCCATGTCTGAAATATGTATTAACTATATTAATTCATTTTGGTTTCTGTATTGTTTTGGCTTTGTCTTACCATTCATTTATGCTCTTAAGTCGATTGAGCTCCTTATTGTGTGATTTATTCATTCAGTGAATGTACCTAGTTTCTGATAAACGATCAGTCATTTGGTGTGTCTGTCCAATTTGTGATAGACAAAGGCTACCCTGACTGTATTTCAGGTTACTGAGGATCGCTTATTTAGATACTGTGCTGCTCTGGAGTAAAGAGTAGGGTAAAATGCATGTGTATTGAAAGAAGCCTGAGACACAAACTGTAGCAGGGAGTTGTCCTGGTCAGGTATTCTTCCTCTGATCCCCACCACTGTGCTGTCTGTGGTATTTTTATCTCATCCCAGTGAATATGTAATTTTTCAGAAAAATGGATGGGGACCACTTGTTTCCATCCTCTCCCATTCTTCTCAGGAAAGAAGAAATTTGTTTGCTGCTGCTGTTGCTGTTAGAAATAGAAAGTTGCCCTTTCATACATTGTCAGCTGTTTGAGAGCTGCAATTACAGACTTTTGGGCTCCACAGGGCCCCACAGTGTAAGATGAAGTGCAGGCAACTTTTCTTCCATAGAAGTTGTCTTGCAATCATGAATAATTTTCCTTTCTCTGGAATGCTGATGATCTTAAAAGTTTTTCAGCGTGAGACCCAAGAAATTAAGTATAGAAACCAGTAGACAGAACTATGTCGAGTTACTACAAAAAGAGCATTAAGGCACTGTTGTCCGTGTCTGAGGAGAGGGAAGCCAGTCTGCCTGCAGTAGTCCAAGAGGTGGTTTCAACCTCTGTAGAGACACTCTTTGAAGAATGTGGCTGTCAGCTGTTGAGAAGTGTGGGTATGTGCCTGCTCTGCTGCTCAGGTAACATATTGGAGAAACAATGGACTGAGTTTAGCTTGATTTTTGGTACCTACCTAGGATTTTCTAAGTAGGGACCAGAAGCTTCCTCTAGCATAGATCTCTCTATACTGGAAATAACTGGCCTTCCTACTCTGTCATGATGGAGATCTATACGTGATTGCATCAAAGCAGGCCTATAGGAACAACAAATGAAAATGCTAATTTAATTTTAATTTTCTTTTGCGTTTTATTATACACACTTTTGTCCAATTTCTACACTTGCTTTCCTCAATCAATTTATTCTCTTTTGATTTTTCAATACCAATTTGAAGAATGTGGTTGAAAAAGGCTAGGGTGTATCTGCTAGCTTCATTCATTTATCCCTGCCCATGGCAGGGCACTTGGAACTAGGTGATCTTTAAGGTCCCTTCCAACTCAAACCATTTGATGATTCTGTATTTCTGCCTTGGATCTGTGCTCCAGCACATGGACTGAGTTTGCTGTTGAATATGCACATTACTGTTAATATCTTTCATACAATAGATAAAATTTTTACAGTATAACTGTAAATTAAAGATTGTATGATAGGCTTCCAGTATAGTGTAATAGCAAGCACGATCTGCTGTTGAGGTGCTAGGCATAAATTCTTTTCTTTCAACAGTCAGTACAGACCTAGAGACTAAAGACCCTGAGTTTGCAGACATGGAATAATCAACTACTTTGACTGTCATGGCTTTAAATATAAAATATCAAGTTCAATTTTATAATAAGTAATAGGTGTTCTTTAATTATTTTGTCATATGTTGTGCCAATTCATTTCCAGAAATATGCTGAATAGCTGCGGAAAATGAAAATGAATTTTAAGTGGAGATGACCATTGAATTTTCAGGAAATAACTCTATATGTCATCACCTGTAACCATTACTTTCAATTGTCTGAGGATAGTAAGTATGTCCAGGAAGGACATATTTATCTGTGCTTTGAGACCACTGTTGCATTTTCTGTTTAATTAACAGGTGTCAGTTGTATAAAATGATTAAAAATGCATTCAGGTTATTATTATAGTAAGCAGCCTTAAAATAGCAAAAGCATTGATCTTTACTCAAGGGGGCAAAATGGATTTTAGAAGATGTGATTTTAAAATTATTTAATTAAAATGACACCTCCAGTATTACAGTTGTGAAAAGTATACAAATGTATTTTATTTAATGCAAAAATCACAATGTTAGTATTCTGTATTCTTTACATAACTTACATGCATTCATCTTCTCAATTTCTCAACCCAAGCGTGTGTTCTTTGGCAGTTGAAAGTGATCTCTCCAAACAATCTAAACAATCCTTGCTGGAAACTTCTAAAACATTCTGAAATTTGCATGGTTTTGTCCTTCAAGCCTACCCAATTACAAGGCTAGCATTTAAAAAAAAAAAGTTTCCTTTGATAAACAAATTAGAGCCTTCTGTCACAGAGGCACATTTTTCTGTCATTTCCCATATTTGAGTATATTGAGCTTTTACAGCTAATTTATTTGTCCTTTCCAGAGTGACTTTCCTCTTCTCTTGTCACCCTCTTTTTATTTATTTATTTTTAGTTCCCATTACATTGGGATCAGGTAAAACATTGGAATTTGATCTTATTCATTCATGGTTTTTCAGCAGCTTGGAGTTTCCCTTTTATAAATGAGATACCTTGAACTTTTAAGAATAAGTCATTGCACGTAAAAGAGATGAAGGAAAACATTACATTTGAAGCATTACAAATAAAAGCAAAAATGGGAAAAGTGAAGAGGGAAAGTACTGAATGAAGTGAGGAATGCTGAAAAACCTCTGGCAAGCAGAATGGGAGCAATATTATGATGGCCATGGGGAACAGTCAGTAAGTTTTTCAAGAAGAAGGAAAAATAAAAGACAATTACTGTGATGAGATTAATTAAAAAAAAAAAGTTGACTTGCTTTTTTATAATGATTCCTTAGGGTTTATTGTACTATACTACATTTTTTTTGGAAAGGAACTGATAAGTTTTGGTTAAGAATAGTAAGAATGTTGCTAAAACATTAACTTGTTTGACAAATTAGATTTTAAACATACGTGGAGATGGAGGTTTTAGGAATTAAAGGAATAATATCTGAATTTTCACGCAGAGTCGATGTTTCAACTTACAAACTCAGTAAAAGCTTTTGGAGCTGATAAAACAGGCAGTGTACTGGTTGACTTAAATTTCTTTTTCTTAAAAACCTTTAACTTGTGAGATAGTGTAGAGTAGTTATCACTTGAGGCAGATCCAATATATAATTTTCAAACATGATTTAGGTAAGCAAATAGTTCTAATCCGTGACCTAGTACATTATATGAATAAATGTAGTTTCTAAAAGTCGTTCATTCAGAACTTGACAAATAATGTTTAACCAAGGTAAATAGTGTCAGTGACTATACAGTCATTTTACATTGTACAGGATCATATGTGTTTAGAGTGTGCAATAAAACAGTCACAGAAATATCTTTTTTGCTATACTGAACTGTTTATTTTAGTAGAGTTTGCTGTTTTTCAGGTGCAGTTAAAAACCAATATTTCGAGTCAATATGTCATTCGTACACAGCCAACAAACACCTGTCTGTCTACACTTGAATGTGCAGCTGTTGCTCTTACTATCATGGAAAAAAATATGAGTATACAAGAGGTACGTAATTTTAAACATCTGAGTTTTTCTTTTATGAATAGTAGAGGAGTAGCAAAGGTACTTAGCTATTAACGTCACATTTGACAGTCAAAATCTTAACAACATTTTGTTGCATAGCAAACTAAAACAAGAATGTACCAATATAAACTATTTTTCTTCAGATATTTATTAACTCTGGTATGTTCAGATTACTGCGACTCTTCCATGTCATTTTCCAAAAGTCTCTATAGTTTTTCTGTTCTTTATTCAACATTGCTATAAGATTACTGAGGAAACTTGTTGCATACAGAGGTCTTTAATGATTGTTTTTCTATTCCTCTTTTCAGTATGTTAAATTCTAGTACAGTATTTTTTGTTCTGTCCCATAATGGAATGCTACAAAGAGTTGTCTGAAGATAAACCTGGAGAAGATTCAGGGCTAAAAATATTTCTTTGATGATATTTAAATTACTAGTTAGCACCAGATCATATCCTGTAACTGATTGTATTTGGTGCTGCAATGTCCATCAAGGCTGAATGCAGACTGCTTGTCTTACAGATGAGTTTTACCATGGTAGTCCATTTGTGTATGGCATAATAGATTGGTTATTGTAAACAAGTAACAACTGCTACCTTCCCAACCCAGCTCCTCAAGTCCTCTTTTTCCCTTGTTTTCTTTTTTTTTTTTTTTTTTTTTTAAATTCCTTTTCTTTAATTGTCTAGTGTCTTCCCTAGGCACTTCCACTTTTACAGGTTTTCACTGTGCAGTCTTCAGGTTGATTCATCTCAGGCTCTGAGATTTTTCCTGTATTTGTTACTCACTCTCCCTTTTCCTCTTCCCTCTTTTTTTCCATTTGGCTTTTCTGTTCACAGTTTCTCTCTTGTACCTCCTATACATTTTTAACTCGGCAGCCTTAGTGTCTTCCAGTTCCTTCTTTCCTTCTATCTCATTCTTATTTCCCATCACATACTCTCATCCTGTACTATTTTCTTGCATTCTTCTTCCTGTAATTCTAAATATGATGAGTGACTCAATGACCTGTACATTGATTTTTAAAAAGAGTTGGTTTATAAGGCACCAAATACATACTGTGCTTTGCCACAATACAGAATGAAAATCTGTAGAGATGACAGTTGGTGGATTTATCTCAAAACAAATAGGAGTACTGCTGTGTATATTGCAGGGCAAATAGTGTAGAGGAGCACAGTTGTACTTAGCTCTTCCTGTGATGTTTTTCTAAGTTCACTTGACATTTCTTATTGCAAAACTTCAAAACATAGACTGTACCAGGAATGTGTAATATACTAGATTGTGCAAGTGTAGCATGCTAGATTGTTTGGGTTTTTTTTAAACGGTTGTCTTTTGGATATTTCTTAATTATAGTGTATTGAAAACTACTTTATTTTATGTACCATGTTAAATAACTGTAGCTACAGTTCACTGTTAACAACTGTTCGGTTGCTGTAATGTATGGAATTTACATGTTGCACTCCTCTGTTACCAAAGTTGTACTCACTCACAAGTATGATTAGTATTTTGTAGCAAAGGAAGGTATTAGTAAGCTTGGCAGACATTCTAGCTTATAATCACTCTGATGTCTAATTTTCATGAAGCCAGTAAAGCGTGTTGATTGCTTATTTGATTAGTGATTCATTGGTACTGAATAATGTGGCAAGCAGGGTTTGAAATGAAATTTTTGTGCCGGGTCTCAAAGGCTTTGTGACGTTGACTTTCTTATGCTTTTTCGTAATGGTAGATAAAACCTGAAACCACTTAAAGGCAGGAGAGCTTGTTAATTTTAAATCAAACATCCCATAATAGATGTTAGAAGGCAATGCATATGTATACACACCTTAAAATATTTATTTATTTCAGTTGAAAACAAAATTGTCATAGAAACATTCAGATATTTTCACCATTCTCTTCATATTCTTAATAGTGGGGAATAGTATTACTTCAGGTACTATCTTTGAGGCTCTTGGGAATTTGTAAAATAGCTTTGGATACAACTTGTTTAAAAGGAGAAGTATTTCCAAATGTGAGAAACTTAAGAAAATGTGGAGATTAGTATCAGTAAAGTTTCTGTCTCTCTTACAGAGGATATTGAAGTACTTGACTACCTGTAAATTTATGGTTAATTTCTTCAGTTAAGGTCTGAATTTAAAATTACTGGGCTGACAAATATCATTAAGAATGACTGGTGCTAGAGTCTAAAAAGATTAATTTAGTTAGCAGACAAGTAGGATTTAATTTCCTTTTTAACATGTGTTAGTCTCGGAATATTTACTGGAGTCAAATAACTATCTTTTTTAATATATCGGTATTTTTAAATGATCTTCTGAAGTGAAAGCACAATAAAATGATCTTTGACTCAAAAGCCCAAAAGCTGATCCAAGTTGAGACAGGCAATTGAGTATATTACGGCATGGAAAGTAGTAAGTTGTTTTCTGCAAAAACTAGATGGCAGAGATGATCTGAATACCCCCTCACAGCTAGCTCGAAGATAAAATACTTTTATAAGCGTGTCCCACTGACCTCCCTCACTCCTGCAGCCATGGAATGCAGCCTACTGAGTTATGTCTTCCTACTAGCCAGCTCACAACACTTACGTGTCGTTGGAGGAATGTGGGACTTAACATTCTTAAGTTTAAATTTATCCCAGGTCAAAGAATACTAATTCGACATTAACCTTTTCCTTACAAGTTGTGATCACACTAGTCTGTGATGGAAGAGGTTATTAAGCTAATGTCCTTCTTAATCTTTTGTTCCTGACATTAGTAATATCAATTTAATAAGCCTTTTGAAAAAGTCCTATGAGTAGTTTTACGCTGTAGACCCAGGTCTGCAATCTGATTGTCTGCCCAGGATATAGTACAGAAGGGTCTGTGAAAAGAGATTTAAAGCTCATCCATGTATTTGCTGCATTCTAGTGTCCACCCTGGAGTGCTCATATCCCTCTCCATGAGATAATGAGTATTTCGGTACGTGACCTCTGCCTACTAAAAAAGGTTCCCAGGTCAAAAATTGCTTCTGGGATTGGCATAGTGTAGAGTATGCCAGCGATGTGTCTGCCTCTGTGACACTAGAGTCACCTCACATTAAATCAATTGCATTTAGAACTAGACTGGGACAAAGTGTGTGGCGTCACAAGAAAATATGGCTCAGAAATTGGAACTCTGCGTAAAGAAACTCTTCTAGAAACTTGTGTATCTTTTATGGCAATGCAGCTATCATATGCTTTATGCTAAAATAAGGTAATTATTTATCGTAGAAGTTAAACATGAAAAAATAGAAATAATGAAATTAAAGTGGGGTTTTGCATATTTATTTTTTCCTTTGGTGTGCTAGGACAACATTGACATACTTCTCCTTTATTAGGACTTCTGTCTTATTCAGGACCAAGGTGAATGTTTCATTGGTGTCTACAATTCCCAGTCCTGTATTGTTTGATCCCCACCACTCAGAATTGGCCCAGCCTACTTTTCAAAGACAAAATTCTCTGTTTCTCAAAGGTGCTTCTATAAATGTTGCAGTAGACCAGAGCTTCATAAACATTCATGCATTTTTTTCTACCCTCTCTGAATTGAGTGCTATTCCCAGCATATAAGATGGTGAATTGAAGTTGAGAGCCATGGAAGTTAAAAACAGATGCTTAGTTTCATGCCTAATATGCCAGTTGATTTTCCTGTGCGCTCAGAGGAGTCACATTTTACTTGGTAGAAACTCAGCTCCTTCTGACTGCAGTTACATCTGTGGTTGCTTTGCACATTTGCACATAAGGCCCTATGATAGTGAGTCAGGCAACCAGAAAATGAAGAACCTACAATTAGGACCACTTGAGATATGTTTGGTTTGTGTGGCTTCATTAGTCCTACATAATACTGCTGGGCAGGAGCAGGGATACAGTCCAGTCTCCAGTCCAGCAGTCCAGCTGCCTTGATCGTGAGTCCCTCCTCTCTTTCTAAAACCCTGCCTCAAGGTATTTTCATTCAAGCACAAACAGCTTAGTTATTGGTACTTATTTTAATACAGCTTGTTGGCTGAACCACAGTAATTGGTTGTAGTCCATTGCTAAGGTCAAGTTAAAGCCATAACTTACGGTAATGTAGCTGGACTGAAGTCAGGATTGACTGGGTCCAAGGAAAGACTAAGGGACAACGGTGGGTAGGTGGATGTATGTCTGCTATGTGGCTTCTTCTTACTCAGCTGTGCCCTCTGTATCTCCAAAGGTTATATTCTATCAACATTTATCATCCAAATTACATTTAGCAGCATTTTTAAATAGTCCTTGAATACAAAACCTGAATAATTGATGTCTCTAAAATAGCTTACTAAAAGATTGGGGTTTTTGTCTCCCCCCACCCCTTCATCTTTCTGCAGACTATACTCCGTCCACTTCAAGCTTTATGCTCTTTCCAGCTTCAGCATGGTGCCCAGATCCATCACAGCAAGGAGCATCTTCTCAAAAATGGCTTATATGACAAGCCAATGCCAAAAAATAAGCGCAAACTCAGAAGAATGGAGCTTTTGGTGAATAATGTTAAAATATAAGAAAACTGTACTGACAGTACAGTGGCATTTATTTGCAGCAAGCAAATGAATATGCATCTGGATTTGATCCAGACGGTTGACTGTTCTGTAATAAAACAACTTTTAGGCCCTTCATAGGCAAGAGTTTAGCTACCAGTGTGACAAACAGTAATGGACAAGCTTTTCCATTTTTGCAGTAGGCCGTGTGCCTTTGTTCAGATGACAGAAGGTCATCCTCGTTTCCTACAGAAAAGAAGAAGAAAACTCTAAGCATAATTTAGAGTTATGTTATCTTTTAGGTGGCAAGTATGATCCTCAAATGACTGGATAAATTTACTTTGGAGAAGCTTTTATCAGTATGAAAAGACAAGGAATATGAATGTGATGGAATGGTAAGGCTTCCACTTTAGAGGTATATTGAATTTCTGGTGAGCATTTTAACTTCAGATCTAATTACAGTAGGTTTTCAAACTGTAATTCCTTGTATTACGTAGTTCAGATGAACACAAGGCATGCTATTTGTATAGTTCTTTGTAACTTTGATATTTGTATTTCTTACATTATTAGAATTCCTTTTTGTAAATTTATATACATTTTACCATGTAGTCAGGTTAATTTGTCTCTCAGATGTAATTTTTAAATTAAGCCCATATATATTTATACCAGCACCTGAACCCTTCCGACTTAAAAAAAAAAAAAAAAAAGTGAATGTACAGAAATTATTTTGGAATTATAACTCAGGTGCTTCACTTTTACTTGAACAAAAACTACTCTTCCACAGAAGAGGGGACATTTTATGGACACGGATACATTATACCCATACCCTGACATACAATAGTTATGATGCTTAAGGAATTAAACAAGCCAGTGTAAACAGCTCCGTACGAAGTATAAGGCAATGACAAATTATGTCCGGGTACAACCTACTAACATGATTGTAGATACATTAGATTTATATATGTTCTTTAATTAGTTCTAACAGTGGTACAAACATACCTCTTTCTAACGGGAAATGCAAGAAGTGGGTATTTTTACCCACTTGTGAAGTAATATTTTATAATCTGGAGGGAAAAAAAAGGTGAAATAAAGGTTTTGATATTCCTTTCTTCATGTTCATAAATGCCTCCTTCACGAAACAGATTAAAATGCTTAATGTTTGTCTTTACTATCAGTTCCACTCTAGTAACAACATGAAGCTAATTGGGTACTAATTAGTCTTAGGAAAAGATACTTTGTCTTTAATTTATGAGCTGCAAGGCAAGAAACTACAGAAGTGAGGGGTGTAAACACAGCTAACCAATGTATTAACTGAAAGTATTTCTGCAATTAACAAGAGAGGTCAAAATTAGGTCAGAGATTAGATAAGAAGTTTTAGTTAACCCTGAGCAAATAGTGACCTTTTGTTTAGGCATGGATTAACAATTTGATTTGTCTGGTTATGTTAGCAAAGTTTATATAACCTTTTTCTCTTCTCCCAGTCTAGATAAATCCTGTATCTGTCACTAAATTCAGCAAACCTGAATTAGTTTTGACAAATCTGAAGCAAAACAGTCTCATATGATTAATGATAGTGTAGATGCACTTTTGTTCACATTGGAACAGAGAAAGGGCATGTTTATTCCTGAAGCAGAGCACAGCAATCTCCAGGCTAGCTTGGAGTCTGAAGTTGCAGTCTTGTACAACTTGCGTGCGCAGCCTTGTGTGTGATGCTACCTTCAGTTCTGGGGTTGGCATGACTCGTGCTGGGCTGGGAATCTGTTTCCCCTGTGCTCTGGGACATGGTCCAAGCATTTCTTAAGGAAACAAGGATATCAGTTAGGCTTTATTGCTAATGCCATATTTACGTATATGGATGATGTCCACATTTAATATTGTATACGTTAATATAGTTTTACCTTATTTTAGATTCATCTAGAACAGTAGTGTATCTTTCAATCTGCAGTGTGAAGATTATTTTCCTAGACGGAAGACTAAATGTGTCTTTTCATAAACTGTAATATAAATATGATGGAGAAGAGAAGGAAATTTGTATTGCAGCCTGGGATTCACAGACATCTGCAAAATGCCTTAGAATTACAGGATCAGAGAAATAGTCGTCTTAATTGAGTTGCAATCCTACATTAAATACTCTGGTGCATGCAATCTGTGCAGAGTTTTCATGTTTTTCAGCAAAGGACAAATTTCACACAGTTTGCAATAAGCAGTTTTTAGTTTTGTTGATTCCTATTGTTCTTCAAATTTTGCTCCTGTGGCTAATAGGATTTGTAGGATCTAATGCTGGATGCATGGAAGCCTTTAATTGCTAATTTCTTGTGTTGTACCATACTAGGTCAATCACTACGCAGCAGTTGCTGAAGAAATGAAAAACAATTCATTCAAACCTCCAGGCATTTTATTTTTTGAGTTTTTGGTATGTCCCATCTCAGCCATAATATAGTGATCATTTAGATGCAATACAGCAGTCTCATGAAGTTCAATTTCAGATTTATTCGAAGCTTTTAAACACAAAATAGAATACTGTGTTTTTACTTTGTTGGTGGAACTTGCATGGCTTTAAAAATATATACAGTGTAAGAGGAAGAGTTTAGAAAGTTTATTTTCAGCTCTTTTGGATTCAGAATTTATCTCTAAAAACATTGCCTCAAAAAAATGGGTACTCTGAAGTCCAAATTCTTTTGATGGAAGTTGTGTGTGATGAAGCAGCACTCTGTGCAAGCAATTTCATTAGAATGAGTTTAATTTGCAGTTTTATTTTTGACTTACCAAAAGATTAATGAGTGAAACCCACTGGTCTAACAAGATACTGGTTCAAAGGAAAAGAACATGTTTGCTTCTAATGTTTAGTCCTTTGTCCTTGACCACTTTGTACTGCCTTTGCTACGAAAATGAAATCTGCCTTGTGTGTGCCACTGGTCATGCTTTGGGAACTTATGACATGGACAGCAGGCTTTTGAAAAAATTATACAAAGGTGGGTGCTGTTAAGTCTCCATATTTTTGTAATCTGTAAGACAGTGTTTAAGAAAAAAGACAAAGCTAGAAATCTTTCAAAATAAGAACATTACCACCAGCTTCTGTTTAGAAAGCTTTAAATTAAAAGTGAAGAGATACTCATGAGAAACATAAATTTATTTTTATTCAAGATTTTACTTTCATTGCCTAATAACGCCATTGGAATTCCATCTGGAAGATGGTGTTACCATACTACCAATAAATTACTCTTTTATTAGTTTTTCTTGAAATAAAAGAAAACTTTTCAACTGACTTCAAAAGGGGCTAAAATTATTTTAAGATGAAGGGTTTTCTTCTCAACTGTTAGATTAGATAAAAAATTGCCTATGCTGCATTATTTTCTATAACTTCCCTGCTTATTTTGAAATGTAATTAAAAACTGAACTTTTTAAAAAGGGATAGTAATTCATGCTTTTCTCCTGAGGTTTGTATTTATTTTGCCTACACAACACGAATGTACATAAATTATATATTTGTTTCTTCTTCGACACAATAAAATATCTAATTTGCTGTGATCATGTGCCATGGTGTCTCTACAGAACTGCATTTGTTCACATGTGCTGGTATCACGAAGAGGTAAGCCTAGTTGTTTTTTGTGCCTTTTTAACACCATTCAGTCAGTGAATGAAGAGATGTGGCTTTTTCTGTGCCATTTGAAGAAGAAGGTTCCTTTGTTATCTGTTCAAACATACACGAAGACTAAATTGCTATAGCAATTTCTCAAGCATTTCAGTTTCAGAGCTCTCATTTAACTTTTTGCAGTAGTGGCTGAGTCCTGTGTGCTACCCCACAAACACGCACATCTTCCCGCACTCTATCATCCCCCAGGCGCTGCATCTCCAGCTCAGTGCCCTACTAGCAGTAATGATCTGCAAAAAAAAAAAAAAAAAAACACCAAAAAAACCAAAACATCCTGTATCTCACCCACATTTTTTCCTTCCCCAGTTTGTTGTATACAAGTTAAAAAAAGCTGGTTCTGTTCTCATGCAGCCATTCCTCGTCTCCCTGCTACAAAACCTGTGCTTCAGGGACTTCCATACACCCTTAGTTACCACGTTTATTCGTGGTGTCCCTTTTCACTATCCCTCTAGAGCCCCAGCACTTCATGTCCTGAGAGCTGCTGCTTTTGTGCTGGGGGACAGATGACAGGGGGAACTAAAGAGGGGAGGAGGAGAGAAAGGTCTGTGTTTTAAGAAATTGCATAAGAGACTTAGGTAAAAGTTGCTTCTGTTGCTAGGGTGTGGCTGCTAATACTCATCGCTGTGGCTTGGTGTTGCTTAATACCAGGATTGTTCTAACAGTTTGACTTGTTTGTAGACTATCTCCTAGGACAGCTGCTTTGTTTTACTAGTTTAAGATTTACTAAATATTTCTTTGCATCCCTTTGTATTTCCTAGAAGATGCTAACTAGTTTTCTGTGTGAGAAGATACTTTTATCACTAAGCAACAGAAAAATTGCTATACCCATGGGGCAGCGCTGCTTGCAGCACAGTTATGGCTTAAGTTGATGTATATACATGGCTTCTGGTTGGCCCATGCATACTGCACGTCTTCTGTCATGGATGTAAGAGGCAGCAGATGCTCAGTTGGAAGTAGCTTTGAACTATTCTCTCTGCCCATGTAAGTAATAATTAAAAACCTCAGTAGCTGTAACAGACCATATGCTGTGCTGTGGCCTACTGTGTCTGTAAGGACAGGTAGCATATTTTAGCTTTTATAGCTGAACTGAAACTGGGCCTTTATCTGGCATATGAAAGATTCTTTTGGGCTTGAATACTAGGATTTACTCTCAATAAAGAAGTGTATCAAAGAGTATAGACTTATCTATGTCTCTGTGTGTTAGTGGAACAGAGCAACATAGAGTATTTGGCAAATTAATTATATATAAACCATTTGCATATATACATGCATGTAAATACAGATCATGTGTTTACAAAATACATAATTATTATAAGCTATCACCATCTTTTAAGTAGGTTTTAAAAGTAGAATTAAATTTCTGTGAATAAAA